ATACTTTCAATAATTTATCGTATTTTAAAAAATAATATTAACAAAAGCACGACATTTTATAGTATGAAAATGTTTTAACATTATGCAAAAAAAAATTGTCTGATCGAATAATCACATCAAAAATTCTAAAAGTTATATATATATTCATTACTATATTACAAAAAATTAGGACGGGTCGACAACCTAATCGTCAGACTGACTCATATAAAATGTGTGGTTTTATTGGATATTTTTTATTCTTGTTTTGTTAGTGAGGCCTTTTCATATAAATTGAAATGGTAGATAATTTTTTGGGAAAAGAAAAATTATTCATCTAATATTCCTTTCCCTTATAATCTATTAACATAATTAAAAAGTTTTTTTTTTGTACAAATAATTAAAAAGTATTTGATAAAAAACTACATTGTTATTATATTCTTAAAAAATGCTATTATTACTAATTCATATATTTCTAACTAGCTAACTACTAATCATTAATTAATAATAACCTAGATATGTTTCTTGTTTTATTACAAACTTTGTATGGTAAAGATCTCTATATTTTAAATATACAAGTTATTGTAAATATTTAGAAAGTACATTATAAATAAATAAATAAATAAATAAGTATAAGATAAAGTTGAATGTTATTTTGTTTTAGACTTTAGTATCTGATGAATATGTTGGATGTGTTAGCATAGTATTGTAAGTAAAATTATTTTTTATATTCCGTTATACATTTCATGAATTAAATTAGAAAATTCTAATTTTTCATAGTAGTAAATAAAATAGTAATCCCAAATGTTAAACGAGCTAAAATGCGAGAAAAAAAAAATGAGTTTAAGTAGCTCAAAGTTAACATGACTCGAGAGCGTTTGGTCAAAAAAATGCTAATTTATTTCAAAATAAATCTATATTTATATAAATAGTCAACCTATTTACCAAAAATAATAATAAAAAAGTCAATCATCGTTTATTGCATTCTATTTTTGATAGTTTTTTTTTAAAAAAAAATTATTCAAAAAAATCGATCACCAATATATGCACCCTAAATATTCATGGGTTTTGTGGATTTAGTTAAGGTAAATTTCAACGGATGCTTACAATTTTGCAAAAGTCAAAATTTTTTCTCATTTTTAATAAAAAAATTGATTACCATAAAATCGAAAATTTTGAATTGGGCAAAATACTATCACATATATCTTTTCCTAATTGAAACAGATCAATTGTTTATTAAAAAAATCAGATTTACATAGAAATTGGGTTAATTTAGGTAAATTTTGGCATGAAAAAATTGTAAAAGTCAAATTTTCTCATTTTTTATTAAAAAACTGTTTACCATTAAATCGGAAATTTTAATTAGACAAAATACTATGACATGTATCTCTACTTAATTGCAACATATCATTTTTATTGAAAAAAAAATGAATTGCATAAAAATCGGACCCAATTCAAATTGAAAATTAAAATTTTAAAACTCATTATCATTAGCTACTACTTTCTTTAGTTCGATTTTTTTTTTTAAAACATAAAACAATGTCATATTAAGTTATATTCAAAATGAAATCGGATTGAAACATACTAAAAATTTGAGTTTTGTTTAATCCTCTATAATATAAATTTGAAACTGATTGCATACACTTGCACAATTTTTCCTTCCTTAAATTAAATAATTTACAACTTTATAATAAAAAGACTATAGATTATCAAGAAAGACGTTTTACAATCTCCGTTATATTTAGCTATGCAATCTTCATAATAGCAGTATAAATTATTCATATATATCTTGTAAATAATTTAATTGATATCATATATATCATACTAAATAATTTAATTGATTTATTCAAGTCTATATAGAATCATAATATAATCTGTGGCGATAGGCGATGTACCAAAAGACTAAAGAAATATTATTGTTTACAAGGATGTGGTTAATAATATTTAAATTATATTTTATTTTATTCCAATACATGCGTATCTAAATCTAAACGGTTATCTTAATAAACTAGTTCGTACATGGCACGGGTACTGCTTTTAATAGGGACAGTATTATTAATAAAATCAATCTATGATTAGGCTGAACGACCGAGGTAAGGAATATGCGAATATATACGTATGGTATCTATTTGGTGATAAATATGAAGCAGTCTAAGGTCAATTTATGTATTTAAAAAAATAATAGAAATTGTTGATTAGACGTAGACATGAACATAATTAAAGTCAACTAAATTACTTCTACGAAGGAAACACATTGGATAGATTTTATTAATTTATTACACGCGGAAAATGGTTTGTTTCAAACATATTTCACAAACCTGTTACCTGATAATTGAACAAAGATTTTTTTTTTTCAATTTCATTTATTAATAATGACTTTTTATTGATGTATTTAATTTAATATTTTTTTTTCAATTTCATTTAATTGGGTAATCAAATAGTTCCTCAATTAAAATTAACTTAATAAATAAATATTAACACATTTGGTAAAATTAGAGACATAAAGATATGCCATGCTAAAAATTATTACTTTTTTGGTATAAAGAAGGAGGCTAGAGTCTAAGACCATTAGGTAGGTATGTTCCGTGGGTAGGCCACGCTAATAAGATCGTGTTGTAACCACGGTTGAATTACTGATGGTGGGTCAAATAACCGTTGATATCCATCAGGACAATCATTAGCTAGAGTCGCCAAACAGTCACTCAACAAAGTTGCTAAAAATTATTTACATTGTCTTAAGATTAATTTCTTTATTCTTTGTTTTTCCACATAATAAACCTGCTGTTTCTGTGTACTTTTGGTCTATTATTAGCTTCTATTTCTGCAGTGACACTCAATCTAACTCTATTCCAAAAGCATGCAACACTTTTGTACAATGTCTTTCTTGATAACACTTAAACATAAAAAACCCAAAACAAAAAATAAATAGAAAATAAGAATTCAGCATCTGCCTTATTTCTCGCCGGAAACAACACCGGACGACGAGCCAGCCGGCTCGTCCACATCAGCAGCCTCCCTCCGCCACCTGTACATCTCCTCCTCGACCATCTTCTTCGCCCCCTCCGCCACCTCAGCTCTCTTCAACGCCTCCTCTATCTCCACCCTCATCCCCTCGATTTCCCCCGTCATCTTCTCCACCTTCTTACGAACCTCTTCCTCCCCCGCTGCCGCCACCTCAGCCTCCGCCGCCAGCCCAGCCACCCTCTCCTCCGCCCGTCTCCGGCACTCCTCTATTTTCCTCTCCATCGACTCCAACTCCTCCGGCGCCAGCCGGATCCTCCTCGACGACCCACCCACCCCCACCCGCGTGGGGCCCACCTCATCCCCCCTCGGAGACTCCTCGTGGATCTTCTCCCCCGCCACCCGCTCCGCCCGCTTGGCGGCCTCGGCTTCCAACATGGCAGCCTCGAGCCTCCCTTCGATCTCCCGTGCCCCGTCATTAGCCTCGTCAGCCTCCCGACTCAGTTGCTCGATTTCCTCCCTCACCCCATCCGCCTCCCGTTGGTACCTCTCGGTTTCGCGCAAAATATTATCCAATTCCGCACGCATCTCATCCAAAACGCCCCTCGACTTCTTCGCCTCCCGAAGCTCGTCCTTCTTTCTCTCGAGCTCGGCTCGTCTCGCCTCCAGCCCCGACTCCGCCTCCCGAGCCTTCTCCTCGTACTCCGACTTCTCCCTCATCACGCATTCCACTTCCGAATCGAGCGCCCGCCCATTCGCCCGACTCGAATTTTCCTCCTCCGAAATCTCTCCGAGCTCCCGTTTAGCCGAGTCGAGCCTCGAGACCGCATCGTGGAGCAAACTCAAATCCCCCGTTCGAACCTCGTTCAATTGCTCACGCAACACTTTAACCGCCTCGTTAACCTCCTCGAGCTTCTCCTCGAAGTTTTTTTCCCCGTCGTTGGGCCCACGCTCGTTTATTAACCGCTGGATCTCCTGTTCGCCAAACTCCCGAGCCGACTTGTGGACTAGCACGTAAATCTCGCGCTCCGCCACGAGCCTAAGATGCTCCTCCTCAGCCCGTCGGGCAGCGGCCCGAACTTGATCGAGGGTATCTCGAATGTTGAAGACCTCGAACAAGAGTCGATTTTTCTTTTCCAAATTCGCCCTCGTGACGTGGCGGGCGTCCTCGGCCTCGTGGAAAGCCGCCAGCTTGGCGTCGAGGGCGGAGTCGACGTCCTGGCGGAGGGTCGTGAGGTCCTGCTTGGCGGCGATGAGCTGGCTGGCAGAGGCTCGGTAGGATTCACGTTCGGAGTCCACGTCAAGCTTCCATGCTTCGCTGCCGAGGTGGGCTCGGCGGGCCTCGAGGGATCCCGCTAGGAGTCGGGCCTCGTCGGCGGCCCGAATGGCTGATTGTTTGGACTCGCTGAGGGAGTCGAGCTTGTTGGTGAGCTCGTGGACCGTGCGGTGAGCCTGCTGGAGGTCTCGGGAAGCGTGGGCCCGGGCCGACTCGGTTTGGCGAAGCTTTTCCTTGTAGTAGTCGAGCTCGCGGAGGATCATGTGGTGTTGGGTCTCTTTTTCGAGTAGCCTTTGCTGTGGAAAAAGGAGTTTAGGTGGTAAGTCGAATCAGAAAAGATATCCCAGCCAAAGCTCCAGCTTTTGCAGCCCAAATTCGTATAAAATTAGAGTAATGCTGTAGGTAAATAATGTTGTACATAGATATAAATGTGTACATAACACTCACATTGAATGAGATCCACTAGAATTAAAAAATCAAATAGATCTCACTCCACGTGAGTGTTATGTACATCTTTATGTACATTTTTTCATAAAATTATATGAGATTGCATTTATATAAAGGCTAAATTATATTAAAATTACAACAAATTCTCAATTTATTGAGTTAGATTTTCTATTAGCAATTTAAAATTTTATTGCAATGTCGGTCTCGTAATTTAAAATATTGTTGCAATTTTAGTCATTTGAGCACTAAAATTGCAGCAAAATGTTAAATCACAAAAGACGAAAAGTTGGAACCTTGGGAATAAAATTGCTACGGCGTTAAACCAACAAGGTTAAAAATACAATTTTGCTTTATATAAATTTTCCTTTTTACGAACCTTATTGGGTTCGGGACCTGACTAGTTAACAAAACGAAAAATCGAACATGAGTTTGTAAGAACTAATTATAACAAAATATTAAATTACATGACATAATAAAAACAAATGTTGGAACCGTAAAACTAAATTTGCTATGACGTTAAACCAACATGATTAAAAATGTAATTTTGCCTACAAAATTCTCTCTTTACGAGCCTTATTGAGCTAGACCTGACTAGTTAACTAAACAAAAAATTAAAAAATGATTGGAATTGCAACAAAATATTAAATCACAAATTACAAGACCAATACACGGAATGTTGGAACTTTGAGACTAAATTTACTTTGACTTTAAACTAACAAGCCTAAAAATACAATTTTGCCTATAAGAATTTCCTCTTTACGAGCCTTATTGAGTCGGACCGACAAGTTAACTAAACGAAAAAAACAAAAGATAAAAACGAAAAATGGAGTATGAATTTTGTAACAAGTGTAGGTACCTCTTCTGCTTTGGTCTTTTTGGTGACAGGCCTTGCCCTAGGAGAAACAACCTCGCCGAATAAGCTTACGGCCGCTTTCACGGATTCGAACGGCGCTCGGGTATCGATTTCTCCCACATCGACTTTCGGGGAGTTCGTGCCGCCGGGCGACTCGGGTCGGGCAGGAGAGCTGACCGAGACTGGGGACCCGACGGACTTGGGCGATCCGAACCCATTCTGCCATGTCCTAACGCTAAAACCGAACATCGTCTTGTTTTTCTCGGGAGACTGCACGTAGATTTATGGATCGACCGGAGATTTTGAACGGCTAGGATAGAAAGATTTCATGTTCAAGAAAATAAAATCA